TGTAAAATATATTAAGTGTCATATCCCCCAAAAGACCATAAAAAATATGTTATTCAAGCAAAGTTATTTTTATTAGAGTGTTGGCCATAAGGGAGAACACCACTTTGTCAGAGTCTTAACTGTATCTCAAAAGAGAGGGATCAAGGAAAGATGCTTACAAAGTTTGGGAGACCAGGTGCAAGGTTCAAGGCAAGAAATTGATTCGTATTGAGCATAGTTTGTGACACAATGGTTTAGAATCGGTGGGCATGGCGAGGTGAGGATTTTGATAAGTAAAATGTTATGTGACATGTGAGCTCTTTGCACCAGTGATCATTCTGTTTTCCTGATAGGAGAGCTGTCTGCCCAGAGGAACAAACTGTTTGCCCAGATAAATTGGTTAACAGCAATTTCCTGAAGTAAACAGTAAAGTTATTTCTTTTTTTTCTTTTTTGTTAACACTCTAATCTTCCAAGTAAAGAACTTCCTGGGACAAAAAAATTGTGTCACATTGTCATAGGTAGCCACAGTTCTGTATCCCCTCTTCTAATTAGTGTCATACCTGGGCTAGACAACAAATCAATATCATCGGGGGACATGATTGATCCAAGTTGGATTAACTCTTTGTGGAGCCCGATCAGTAAGTTACTGGTTGTGGTCATTTCACTCTCTATAAACTTTAGGTTTCGTGTTGTTTTTGTTGTATGATTGCTTGGGGTCAGTGACTGTATAATAGCATTTAAGACTCTGGAGATCACACATTTGAGCACTGCAACAAAGCAAATACTAAGAAAAGATTATCCAAGTTTTTAGTATTTTTCTAGGCCAGGAGCTAAGAGTGCCCAAATTAAACCAAGATAACAGATCCTTTCATCAATTTAAAAAATCCATAGAATTAAAAATTGAGGATTAACCAAACCACATGTATCATCTTGTGTGTGTATCATGTGTGTATAAATAAATATATATCTATGTATGTTGTGGGCTGAATTGTGTCTCCCTAAAATCCATATGTTGAAGTTCTAACCCATATTACCTCAAAATGTGACTGTATTTGGAAATAGGGCCTTTAAAGTGGTACTAAACTAAAATGAGATCCTTAGAATGAACCTTAATCAAGCATGACTGATGTCCTTATAGGATGAGGAGATTCAAACACAGACACAGAGAGAAGAGCATGTCAAAACACAGGGAGAAGGTGTGACACTGGTCAAAACCAAGGAGAGAGCCCTCAGAAGATATCAGCCCTGTTGGCACCTTGATCTTGGACTTCTAGCCTAGCCTCCAGAATAGTGAGAAAATACATTTGTGTTACTTAAACCACTTAGTCTCTGGTATTTTGCTATGTCAAGCTCACTAATATAATAATTTTCTATAACTCTTTAACGAAGTATTACCTAATAGCTATGTTAATTACTAATTTTATCTAAAGTATCCAAGGTTTGTTTTTCCAAACTTAAGAAAAAAGGTAGAAATCCAAAAAAAAAAAAATTGTTTTTATAAATATATCTTTTTTTTTTAATTGATTTCAGATAGAGGAAGGGAGAGGGAGAGAGAGAAACATCAATGATGAGAGAGAGTCACTGACTGGCTGCCTCCTGCACGCCCCTCACTAGGGATCGAGCCCGAAACCCAGGCGTGTGCCCTGACCGGGAACCAAACCATGATTTTCTGGATCCTAGGTCAATGCTCAACCACTGAGCCATGCCAGCCAGGCCAAAAAATATTTTTTAATAAGCAGAAATCTATTAGGTTAATAAATTTTAAGGTAGGTAATTTAAAGGTAATTGTATATACTTTTACTACACAGACATTCTATAATTCATAAAAATAAAAGATATAAACAATAATTAATGACTAATGTTTTACATGTTTTTCCTCTTAGAAATTGTCCAGGTGTGCAAAGATTAAATTATTAGCTCAGTAAAATATTACTCTAAGACTTAAAAGGAATGATCTAGATATTAAAATTAAGTGAATTCATTAAGTCTATGTAATTGGTAGGATTGTTAGTAATCTTAGACTTAAACAATTAACTGTTATTATTATTAAAAGTAGTTTTAGTTAAAATTGTATATTTTATAATATTAAAACAATTTGTGGAAACACTGATGACTCAACCCATATTTTATATGTAATATGTATAATTTAAAATGTAATATATAAAATAAAATTTTTGAAAGTTTAACTCATAAGAAATTAAACTCAAGGCATAGACTAAATTATTGTGTTAAACTATCATGGTAAAATCAAGGAGGTGATATAAAGTTTTTTAAGCTAAAATTAAAATAATCTTAATTTTCTCTCTTGTCTGGAATATCATACGAGCTCAGGATTTTATAGTCTCACAAGCAACGTTTGAGAGATCCAGTTCCTCGGCATCTTCATCAGCATTTGGTATTGTCACTATTTTTAATTTTAGCTCTTCCAATGTGTATATAGGGACATGTCATTTTGGTTAAAATTCGCCTAATGGCTAGTGATGCTGAGTATTTTTTCAGCTACTTATTAGCCATCCCTCTCATTTTCTGAGTGGAACATTTACTTGTTTCCTCATGTCCTTTGCCCATTGCCTAATTGGAATGGTTATTTTGCAGACGTTTTTTGTTTACTGGTGAGTTTTAAGAGGTCTTTGCACATTCTAGATATGAATCTTTGTCACATGTATTTTGCAAACATTTTCTCTGTCTGTAGCTTGTCTTTTAACCATCTTAAGAGAACCTCAGAGCAAATGGTTTTAATTTTTACAAAGTCCAAATTATTGATTATTTTCTTTTCAGGGAGCATGCTTTCAGCTTCATGTCTAAGAACCTTTCACCAAGCCCTAGTTTTTCCCCTGCGTTATCTTCTCGGATTGTACAGTTTTGAGTTCTCTGCTTTGACTTAGCCTTCAAGTAGGGCGTGGGATGTGGGGCATGATCCCTCTCTCTCTCTCTCTCCCTCCCTCTCTCTCTCCCTCCCTCTCTCTCTCCCTCCCTTCCTCTCTTTCTTTTAACCCTCACCCCAGGAGTGAGGATATTTTTTTCCATTGATTCTTAGAAAGAGTAGAAGGGGGGAAAGGGGAAGAGAGAGGGGAGAGAGAGACAGAGAGAGACATCCATTGGGTGCTTCCCACACGCACTGCGACCGGGGTGGGGATTGGACCTTCATCCCTCCAGCACACAGGCCGATGCTCTAACCACTGAGCATGACAGCCAGGGCACTTTCTTATCTCTTTACTCAAGTAATAGTTATATAATTATAATAAATAATGAGCAAGTTCCAAAAGTCAGCTGTTAACCAGAGAAACAGAAGGACATATATAAATATATATCTACATCTATCTCTATCTATATATTTCTTATCTTGCTTTTTTTTCAGAGCAAAAGTGAGTCTTCTCCTAGTACTCACATTTCCTTAATGCAGCCCAGAATGTAAATCTAGTGTGTCCCTTCAAAAATGTATACACTTCTTAGATACTACTAATAGCAAGAAAGAGAGGGTGTTAGTATTTTGAAGAGATGTGTTATTATAAGGCTTTAGGGGCCAAAATAATGCTTTTTAGTACTGGCAGAGCAAAATTGGGGAATTGTATATGTGTTTGGTTTACTCCGAATTTTTACATCCTGCAACCTAAAATATAAATTCCTATATTATTTCCCATTTTTAGATGTGAAATTAGATGTTTTCAACTTAGTAAAGATTTGTGACTCAGATTTCCATTATAAACGATGCCTAATTATCACAGATTATTCAGTTAAACTTTAACTTATTCTCTGTCATTGTAATTTATTCGATATGCCTACATCTCTAATACTTTAGAAAGTATTACGAAAAATGTCTTCCCTCTGCTCTCTGGGCTGTTAAGTGCCTAGGTGTAGATACATTATCCAGTATACATGCAGTTTGTGTCAGAATGCTTTCAGAGCTGCTGGGTAGAGAGAATGCAAATTTAAATGCTGCAATCTGCACAGCAATACTGAGGATGTACACCTAAGAAATATAAAAGTAATACAAGAAGTGGGGGTAAATAAGACAAGAGTGTCCTGGATAAATACATTCTGAACTATAAGTTGGAGGGGGAACCATCTGAGTGGACATGGAGAAGGGGAGGGACACTTGGGAGTGGGGTCATTTAGCATAGGCTAAAACCTTGTCACCACGCAGAACTAGAAAAGAAAGAACTCTTCTCTGTACTACCAGCTGTTGAACATTGTTTTTTTTTATTGTTAATATTAATAATAAATGTTATTTATATAGCACACTAAAGTTTACCAGACACTCTTGATTTAATTTGACCCTCACAATGGCCTTGTCTATTTTCTTTTAGGGCCAAGTGTTAATTTGTGTGAGGCTGCTGAAACGCGGGGATATTTAATGTTAGAGAAGCTGTCTTCTGAAGTCATTTCACTAGTGAAATAGATGTTAATGATTTTATTATGGGTTAAGAATGTGAACCAACACATTTATCTTCTAAAGAGTAGGAATGTCTTTTCATTTAAATAATTTTTTTAAACGAAAAATTCTATGAGATATACCCCAGGAACATTAAGGGATATTTAGTTTAATCTGTTTTATCAAAGTTTTGTCATTTTTATTACTGTTGTTTTTATCACTTCAACAATTGAAGTATAATAAAAACAAACAAACAAAAGACCCGAAGTCTGTAACATGAACCAGGTCAAAGCTTTCTCAATGACAAGTGTTTGGAAATGTTCACAGGTGTAAGGCTATCAGACACTTTTAGTAGTTGAGTTATAATTTCAGCTTTCTGGCTGTAATTAGTCAAATATTGACACTCTGTCTTGGCATGACAAGTTATAGGAATGGAAGAGAGAAAAATTTTATTTTTCATATTCGTGTCTTAATGTGCATAGAGTTATGTTTCATCTCCTTGTATTGTGGTGTTCATTAAATATTTTACTATACTTGTTTATAGAAGAAATTTTAGAAAATACAATGCACAGAAAAGAAGAAGAAAAAGAAACCCATAACCTACCTGCAGAAATTCTCACTCCTCCCCGTGTTTTGTCTTGTGACAGCAAGAGGGGGTGAGGATCTTCATAATGCTCTACAAGGAGGTGGAGCTCGCACTCGGAATCAACAGTGAGTACAGCAAGAGGACTTTAATGCGCCTGCACCCCAACATAAAGGTATTCAGGCTCCTCCTGCCGAGCAGTGTTTCTGCTTTATTACTCTAGATTTCCAGGTATATTTTGCTTTGAGCAGTGGTAACGTGTAGAATTCCCTAATGTATATTTTAAATAAACAGCATCGTGTTCTTCTCAGAAATAAAAGAAAATACTATACGTTTTTTATACTTCTAAATATTGATGAAGTCAGTAGAGTTCACATTTCTACTGATAATTTAGTCAAGAGCACACTTCCTAGAGTTGTTTTAACTTTTCAGGTCTGTCAAGTTTCTTTTCTCCTCATTAAGAGTGTCCTGGAAACTCTTAGATGTGACCTACCTGTGGCATCCCTTGAATACTGATACCAGCAGAGAGCTCCTTTAGGATTTGAAGTGCTTTCCTTAGTGACCCCTTGTATAACATACTAATAAAGTAAATGAGCACAATAAGCAACCTGAAAAAATCTATTTGATATTTTACCAAAGAACCAAAACCTATCAATAAATATTGCTCAATCATTGAGTTATATCCAGATGAGTCAGTAAATCTCCAGCAGGCTTATATTTCACTTTCTTAAAAAAAGACATTCCATGTAAATAATAACCAAAAGAGAGCAGGAGTGGCTATGCTAATATCAGGTGAAATCAACTTTTAGTCAAAAAAAAGGTTATCAAAAAGAAGGACATTATATATTAACAAAAGGTTCAATGTAGAAAGATATAACAATTATAAGCATTTCTGTACCAATAATGACCATTAAAATACATACAGCAAACACTGACAGAATGAAAGGGTGAAAGCGACAGTTCTACAATAATGGTTGGACACTTTAATATCTCCTCTCAATATTGGGTTGGTATGTATAGAGAATGGAATATTATTCAGTCTTAGAAAGGAAGGAAATTCTCACATATGCTAAAACATTATGAACCTTAAAGACAATATTCTAAGTGAAATAGGCCAGACACAAAAAGACAAATACTGTATGATCTCATTTATATGAGATGCCTTCAGTAGTCAAATTCACAGAGACAGAAAGTAGAATGGTAGTTGCCAGGGTTTGGGGGGAGAAGGGAATGGGAAGTTAATGTTTAATGGGTGTAGAGTCTCAGTTTGCAAAAATGAAGAGTTGTGGTTGGTGGTAATGATTGCACATATAATATGAATGAACTTAATACTACTGAACTGTATACTGGAAAATGGTTAGTATGGTAAATTTTATGTTATGTGTGTTTGGCTACATTTAAAAATGTTATTTTTAAAACGTACTCTGCAAAATTTTGGAAATGTTTCTACGAAGACATACAAAGACAGGATAGGTCAGTCTGCCATCATTTAGAGAGAATTCTATTCAAGCAGGAAGTTAATAACTCCTCAAAGTACCTTTGAAATTGAGAGCTGCCAAAACATCTATGTCCCTATATTTATATGCTTCCTATTTCGACTCAATGACTGCCAGAGATCAATATACTTGTTAAAAAATTTGCCAGAGATAGATATTGGTTAAAATATTTTCAAGTTTTTTGTTTTTTTTTAAATAATACCAGATAAAATCTTTTTAGAGGGAAAAGGAAATCAGCTATTTCATTGAGCTGACTTTTATTGAAATATGTGACCAAACTTCAAACTAAATGGCAGCTGCCCTAAAATGTAATGTGGATGGGGGTGGGGGGGGGCTTCAAAAGTAACCAGAAATGAGAAGTTTAGGGATTTTCTTTGCTGTATACAGAGCCCATTGTGGTATTTGAATTATAGAAAATGCTATTCAGGGGAGAAAACAGACCTATTTTATTATAATATGGGCATTTTGAAAAGCATATTACACAGGCATTTTTTTTCCTCTCAAGGTGATGAGGCACCCAGATCATGTGTCGTCCACCGTATATTTGTGGGCTCATCACGAGAAACTTGTCATCATCGACCAGTCGGTGGCCTTTGTGGGTGGGATCGACCTGGCCTATGGCAGGTGGGATGACAATGAACACAGACTCACTGATGTGGGCAGCGTGAAGCGTGTCACCACGGGACCGTCTCTGTGTTCCCTCCCAGTAAGTAATTTCAGCTTTACAAAACTGCATAAAAGGGACACGGTTTGTGTCAATATATATGATAGCGTGGCTGATTGATTGAAGGAGAGGTGACACTGAGTCAAACAAAGACACACCTGGTTTCAAACACCACTTGGCAAGTGTGCAACTTCACATTAGTCCCGGTTTCTTCTCTTATAAGAAGAGAAAACAGATTCAGTGGAGCATTTGCTATCTGACACTCAGCTCCTTGGTTTTCCACTTAAATCAAAGATTTATTTGCTATTAGGAAAAAAGTTTATAAACAAAAATGTGCAGCAATTGAGCTTTAAGTTAAATAACCTGCCTTATTGTATACAGGTAGCTGCCAAGGTTTTTGGAATCTTCCTACTTAAAGACATATAAAAATAGGATAGTAATTCTATTTGAAAGCAGGAGGTTAATAACTTCCCAAACTGCCTTCAAACCAAGAGCTGCCAAAATACATTTATCTGCCTATACCCATATTCTTATGATTTCAACTCAACTGGTTGCCAAAGTGTCAATACACTTATTTTAAAATTAGATGGGCTCCATCCTGTTTTACTGCTGGATATGTTGGTGCTTTTTCTGGGGAAATAGAAATGGAGTGAATTGGTAACAGGGAGCGTAACTGAGAGAAAGCATTGCCTACCTAATGTCTAGCAGAGGAAGAAGTTGCTATTAGGAACTTCTCAGCAGCGAGTGTAATTTATTTCATTGCATTTGAGATAAAAAGATAAGTTGGTATGAAATTTCAAGAATTTGGCCTGAAAGAGGAACTACAATGGAACGCCTGGGGTGCCTTTGGCAGTATTTAAACGGTTCACAAGAATCCCACTGCCCTGTGCTAACCTCACACGTTATTGTGAGTCTGTTAGAAACTTCTCTCCTGTGCCAACTTTACACCTCACCTGACTGGAACGAAAGGACCACAATGCAGTGTTATCTGATGCAGGGTCTTTTTTTTTAAAAAAATAATTTTCTCAGGTTGAAACAGCAGAGTCTATGGAATCCTTAAGCCTCAAAGATAAGAAGGAACCTACTAAAAATCTGCCCGCGCTGAAGAGCGGCGATGATATGGATTCAAAACTGAAAGGCATAGGCAAAGCCAGCAAGCTCTCCAAATTCAGCCTCTACAGGCAGCTCCACAGGCACCCCCTGCGCGGCGCGGACAGCCTCAGCAGCGTCGACAGCGCCTCCCGTAAGTCGCCGCCTGCCCCAGGGGCCGCGGCCACGCTCCGCCTCCACAGCCAGACGGCCTCCCTGCTTTTAGAGCCCGGCTTTCCAGAGTGGAGTAAATTGATCAACGCTGAGAGGTCACGAGGTCATCTTATTCAACATCACGCCATCTCATGGCTTTGTTGGCCTCCTTTTAGAACAGATGTATTGTTTTATTCACGAGTTGTCATAGCGAGCACAATTCATGCTCCTGATAGTAGCAGAATGACTAAGCATTTATAAAATAATGCCAAGTTATAAAGGGGAAAAAAAGAATTAGGTATACTTTATAAACTTTTTAGAGAAGAAATTTCATTTCTCTTCCCATCCAGAAATACAGCAAGCATCTCTCCTCAAATGTCAGATTTTCTACATCTTAGAAATGTACTGTTTTTTAAATCTGTCCTAAAGCCCTGTGATTTTCTGATGCACGGGACTTGTGACTGGTTATATAGCCTTGCCTAGTTTTACAAATGATCCAACTTGCTTTCCAGTTTACAACACAAAACTCTCAACTTTCTCCAGGTTATTATAATCACTGTAGAAGTCGTCAGCATTTAATCCATGGTTTAAAGCCCCACTTGAAACTCTTTCGCTCTTCCAGTGGTTCTGAGCAGGGGCTCTTTAGATCTGCCATGGGTAAGTGATCTGCGAAGCAGCAGCGCCTTCTTAGGCTTCAGCTTGTGCTGCATGGGCAGAGTGAGTGTGTTTCTGGATTGCTTTTCTGTTCACACAGTTTTCACGCCACATACATTGCAAGCAAAGCATAGGGAAGTACACAAGTTTCCTACAACTCAGCACTGAGATGAGCTATAACCTAAGAAGGGGACACACATTGCATGGCGCCTGCAGTTCAGTGGTGTTTTAGAAGTTCTGTGGAAAGTGGGAGGGCTTCTCTGTGATGATCCAGAAAGACACTCTTGAGGAGGGGACATTGGAGTTAGGTTTGGAAGTCATGTCATTGGGTAGGTGAGGAAGGGAAGACATTGCAGGTGAAGGAAATGAGGCGAGCAAAGGTGCTGGAATGGGAAAGCACGGAGTGCTTTTGAATGTTAGAAAATGCGTCGTTCAGTTGAGAGGCAGTCTGTGATATAAGACCAGGGAGATACACAGCAGTCACATTTGGACTCCCCAACATAAATAAAGGAGCCGGACCTTTATTCAGTTATAAATCTTGGAGATCATTGAATGGAGGTGTCATGCTCTAAAGGTGAATTTTTAAAAATTGTAATTTGATAACCTTTGTGAGAAGAACCACATATTTGAGGAATAAATTAATCAGGCCTAATTTATGGTGGTGGGAATGAAGAGGATTTGGCAGTGGATCAGGCATAGGAACAAGTAGTCATGATAATAAATAGCAACCACAGTAAAATCACAAGCTAGTGTTTATGGTGTGCAGATGTGGACTCAGGATAACTCCCAGTAATTCCTGGGCTTGACGGAGCGTCAAAGCCCTGAGACAGGGGCCAGGAGGCCTCTGGGAAGTCAAAGAGCCAGGTCAGGGGCAAATGCAGGGGCAGATATTAAAGGCAAAGAGTTGGAAACGGGTCCAGGTAGTGCTTTGTAATTCCACGTGTGGCTTTGCTGCTTTAGGACTGAAGTTAAAAATGAGATGGAGGAATGAGGCTGCAGAGCAGTAAGGTTGAGGGTCTGAGTCATGACCGAGTGGCTGTGTTGCTGACAGTAGGACAGGGGTTGGGGAGCAGATGCAAGCCAGGTGCTGAATAACTCCTGCCAGTGTCAGGCTGAGCAACACAGTGGTGACCTGGGGACACCCATGTGGGTGGTTTTTAGGTGCTGATGGGAACCTCCTCTGTAATAAACTGGACACATGTCCAGTGCAGCATTGTTTTTTTAAGAAAGAAAGTAAACTACCTAAATATCCAAGAGTAGGGGAATGGTGAAGCACACACGGAGTGCTTCATCCCCTTGAGGGATTGTGCTCTCATTAAAAACTGTCAGTGGGGATATAAAAGTAAATGTATATGATTTATTTATTTCATTAAGTAAGTACTTCCTGAGCTCCTATAGTATGCCAATCACTGTTCTAAATATTAGGGATGTAGTGAACAAAACAGATGAAACTCAGTTAACTAGCTGGATGTTAAGGATGGGAACTGTATATATAAATAGCTCATCAAGCGCCGTATATCAAGTGGTGAGAATGATCATGGAAAACAAAGAACGGGAAGGGGGATGGGCACGGGGAGGAGTTGTTATTTTATACGGAGGGGTCAGAAAATGCTTCTCTAGGAGGTGAGTCCTCAGCAGAGATCAAAAGGAAGAGAATGAGGATGGGGGAGGCCTGGGGCGAGCGCGGCCCAGCCAGGAGGACCAGCCAGGGTAAGGGCGGCCAGGCAGGAGGGGTCCCTGTTTCCAGGAGTGGGCTGGGCGAGAGTGGCCGCAGCCGTCGGAGAGGGCTGGGGAGGTGATGCAGGGCTCGCAGCCTGTGCAAGGATTTTGACTTTTACTTTGAATGAGATGGAAAGTCACTGGAAGGTCTTGAGCGAAGAACAAACAAGGTCTGACTTAGATCTGTACGGGCTCATCCTTCAGAGCAGACCTGGTGGCATGTAGTGACCGGGCAGGTGCTGACCACACCTTGAGGTGATGCTCGCAGCACTTGCTGGTGCCCTGCCCGTGGGATGTGAGAGGCACGGCAGGGGAAGGAGGCGGCGTGAGGAGGGTGACATGGAATCCACTGGGGATAGTTCGGGAGGCAGGCGAAAGCAGCGGGAAAATCTCTGAGACGGGCTAAAGAGCGAAATGAAGAGACGGATCCCTTTTCCACAGGTGGGTGTGGGATCGGTAACAATGAACATTTTGGGCTCTCGGAGACAGTAACAGAGATTGTATGTGGGGAAGAGAGAACAAGGAGGGGCTCTGCGGGCTGGGCTCTGGCGGGAGACTGTGCCCTGGGGTCTGAAAAAGGGGACTGCTCTGACATTCCAAAGGCGTGTTATTACAGACGCAAAAACAGCAATAGAGAGGCTCGGTGAAGGTAAAGGTTGACCTTTGTCAGGGAAGATACAGGCCTAGGACATGACTACTCGCCCTGACTCACTTTTAGTTAAGAAGTTTTCATTTCAGGCCATCCTGTGTGTTTACTGTAGGTCTCTGAGTTTGAAAGGCCACCATGCAGGCCTCCCCTGAGCTTGTCAGGTTTAGTATGTGGCTCCTTTTTCGTCCACATTTCAAATCAGATATCTAATCGTAAGGCATAACGAGTAATGGGTTGTTTCTAGACTATTCTCAGAGTTGCAATGATATAGATGCATAAGACTTATTTTCTGCTGGCAAAGAGCTTATTATTTAACCGGTAAGCATCAGTTTTAAGTATTTCACTCACCTAGTGCCTTAGTAATTCATCAGGGGGTGATACCCTTACTGACAGGAGTTGTCAGTGAAGCCTTCTCTACAAATGTACTCTGAGTCACAGTGAAGCCTTCTCCACAAATGGAAACCCTGACCCATAATTCCAAAATCCAAAAAGTTCCAAAAACTAAAAGATTTTTTAAAAATATACCTCATCGAGGACCTGTTTTGGAACTGGCCTTGAATATAGGTAGACATTCAGTAGGTAGAGACCAAGAAGGGATAAAAACAGGCATTTCAGGTAGTTGTTATATCTTAAGGCAGATGTGGGAAATGCCAAAAGTGTTTGTTTCAGACCTAGGTATGGAATGTGGTAAATACACAGAGGCCTACCATTTCATGCAAAGTCCTGGGGGTCAGATGTGCTTCAGAAATTAGCAGATTCTGGATTTTAGAAAGGTAATATAATACCTGTACTGTAGATTATGTTAAAGTCCTTGCAGGGTCCAGGAAACACCCTGTAAACAAAGCATTTATGTTTGTGTAACACCAAGTGGGGTAAATAAAGATAATAACCTCTTGTTAGTTCAGGTCAGGTTTTGCCAACAAATGAGCTGTGAAAAAAACATTTGGAATATCAAAGCTTTTAGGTTTTGGAATTGTGGTTAAGCCTTAATTAATTTGTGTAGATTAGGCAGGTGAGATATATCTATACCAGTGTATGGAGGGCCTTGCAAGTCAGGGTGAGACACCGAACCTCATCCAGAAAATGTTGGAGAACCCCTGGGGGATGGGAGCTAGGCTTTGGAGGGGAAGGGTAGTGGGGATGGGGAAGTAAGGGTGGTGTTTTGCTAAGTTGTGCTATGGACTAAAGGTGTCTGATTACCTAGAGTGGGCCCAAGAATGAAGTGAATGGGACAAACTTTTTCCAAAGGAGGAATCGGCAGAATTTTAACAGGATTTGGGAAGTGATGATGGGGAGGTGGCTGGAGAAGATAATGAAGAAGGGAGGAGCCAAAAGTGGTTCTGAGGTTTGAGCGCGAGTGATTATGAGCAGGAGACAGAAATCTCAAGGGAGGACTTGATTTTGTTTGGATGATAACTATTGTAGTGTTACATGTGATTTTAAAGTTCTGGTGAGACAACTAGGTAGGCAAGGCCAAGTGAGGCACTGGAAGTGGCTGTAAATCTGGAGCCCAAAAGAGAAGTCAGGGCTAGAGGGGTACATTTAGGAGAAAGTTGGAGGAAACCTTATTTGGGAGGAGCTAGGAAAAGTCAAGAGAGTGGGTTGGAGTAATGGTCGGGGGATGCACATGCCTTGGAAGCCAAGAGATGAGAGAGAAAAGGAGGGGGTGGCAAAGCCAGAAGACACAGGGCGAGGGGCAGGAAGACACCCTTTCCCTTTCAGCATCCAGAATCTGGGTGCTGAGGCATGAGGAATGCAGAAAACTGGCATGAAAACCCTGTGCCGAGAGACAAGGCAGGTGCACTTATGAAAGCAACTGGGGTCGGGTTCAGACTAACGAGAACCCCTCAGATCAGCACTGCCGGGATAACAAGTCCTGTCTTCCTGCTCGTAGGAGCTTATTCAGTTCTGAGCAGCAATCACAGTAACTAGGAGCATTTGGCTCTTTTGCCTTAATATTTCATTTGTTCTTTGGAATAGTTTAGGCCATGACTAAAAACAAAAACAAATTTCAGTTATGAGCAGGCTGAATTCAGTGAGCACCAAGACAATTTCCTGAGACTAAGAATTTTCTTGGTTTTGTTTTTCTTGTAATAATTGGTTGTTAGGTGAAAGTTAATTTTTAAACAAGTGTATGTGTGTGTAAGTAAAACTTTAGCTTAGAGGTTTTCAATTAATAAAAACAAATTTTATATACATATGTTTTTTAAAATTTGGAATTTGTCTCATTTATCTCTCA